TATACATCAACAGCCTCGTGTGCGTCACGCGCGTGTCGTATATACCACATATAAACCGCGCAGGTACATCGTTCATCTTTTATAACGTATACAGCGCATTTGATTCGACCTGGGAAATTCGCAAGCACGAGTTGTTATATAGCTACGCGGCGGCGGCGGCGGCGGTTGTATAAAATTAGCAAAATTCGATCCTAGCGCGCGTTGTGTACATGCAGCTTACTTGTAATAAGGTAAAATCAGCAATTCCTCGAGATGTATACGGGAGTTTCTCCACCGGCACACGTATATAGGCATTTCAAATTATCTGTAACACTCGTGTGTGCGTGTGTGCGTGTGTAAGTATAGAGTCCCGAGGAGTGTTATCCTCGACCCTCCGCCTAGATGAGTGTGTATAGTGCACGTGTGTGCCTATTATACGTACACTACGCTCGGCGCCCTTTGTGACGATGCAAACATGAATACATATATATATATATAGCACCGCCCATCGTATGTGTGTGTACGTGTGTATATACCCAGCGTCGTATATGCTTTTAGCTTGTATCACCTACGGGGAATTACACGATTATATATAGCCTCTCGCTCTCTTCTCTCTTCTCTCGTCGTCGTCGTCTCTTGGTGGGCACGACTACTACGACTACTCCGACGACGACGACGAGATGCTACAAACTGGGGCATAAACAATCCCTTAGCTTTGCCTCTCTCTCTCTCTCTCTCTCTTGCTCTCCCTTGACTCTCAGTAGCAACGACGACGACAGTGGTTGCTGCTGCTGCGGCGGCCGAGTGTGCGTTCACGCTTTGATGCATCGATGCGACTTATACCTATACTCTTATATAGATAGGTACTAGATAGGATAGGTATAGGTGTAGGTAGTACTATGTGTATACAGCCTCGGTGTATTTACGTCTTTAGAAACTATTGCGCTGAAGAGGCGAGGGAGTGGAGGTTCTTTGTATATATTTCTCTTGTTTTTAGATTCGTTTGGCGTTTACGATTCATTTATTTTTATTTCGTAATTTTGTAATTGCTTCGCGCGGTGCAACGAGACACAGTCGAGTTTAAAATATATAATTAGGACTGAGTTTATATACACAAAAGTATAATAACAATAAACTGGAAATTATTATCAGAGTATTTGGAAAATTTCAGTCCTAAATCCTTCGAAAAAGCTGAAAGCCTAATTAAAGTTTAAACGTTGCGCGAGGCTGTGTTCGTACAAAAAAAAATAACATAAAGCATCGTAATTAATTAAAAATTTTGCATTTTTTTTTATCTTTTTACTCAACTTCGAGGCACGAGACACCACCACTACGGTACTGTACGTTTAATAGGTGGAAAAATGCAGTAGTTTTCCGGGAGTGAGATAGAGTCACTCATTTTGATGATATTAAAAAGCATATACCTCGCTGCTGCATAGTGCCTCCTGCGCGTGCGAGAGTCAATGCCAAAGGAGACAAACAACTTTGTTCTTGCACTTTGGCGGATCGCTCGCTGCGAAATTTTTCAACCCACCGGTTGAAAAAACTGAAAATTGTTTTCTTTTTTTTTTCAACTTACTCTCAACCGTACTGTTTTACATTTTTATACTTTAACGCAACGTATCCACGCGCACGAGATTCGGTCAAAGATACGGCACTCGCATGGTTTGACACTTGTAATTTTTTCTCTCCCGCTGGCACCTATATCGCGATTGTCGCGATACAGCCCATATATTTATATACACCCACACACTTATATATAGGGCGAGGGGGGGCGCCGCACGAGAGAGAAACTGCCACAGGTGGTTTTTCGAGCAGCTGCAGCAGCAGCAGCACTAGTAGTAGTGGTATATACACGAGCTCGCGAGGCCGTATATATACGTATGCCGCCAGCGGAGCCTGTCATCGAGGCCTTTTCATTTTCGTCATTTCGCGGGCGCTATACTATATATACCCGACGCATAAAACACTCAACCCGCGTCTCTCGCGTCGTATTATATTTGCGTGTATAACACGAGGCGCTTACACACGCACACACAAGTACACAATTTTTTTTCATTTCTGCTCGTTAATTGCGCGATTAACGAGATAGATACGTATGCACTGTACCACGTATATACAGGTCGTCGCGGGTTGTCATTATTATTATCGTCGCGTTATTAAACATTTTTTTTTTACTCGCTCAGAAGTTGAAATTTTTTTCATCGTATCGAGTATACAACATTGCGATAAATGGCACACGGACGTTTGCTCTCTTCTCTCTTCTCTTTGGCCGCTTATATATAACGCGTTATTAGTGTACCTGAATTGAATTCTTTATATTAAACGCACATCAGGCCATTTTATTTTCAATTTATTTCCTCGCTTAAGTCCGAAAGAGAGAGGGAGAGAGAGAGGGAAAAGAAGGAAATTATTCTCGTTAAGTCGTTAGGCGGCTACTCGGCGCTCGTGCTCTACTACTCCAGAGAGAGAGAGAGAGAGAGAGCTGTTGCAGCACAGAGACTGCCGAGCTCAGCAGAGACTACAGCTCAGAATCATCTCTAATCTGCGTCAACTTTTTCAATGCATTTATCAAGTTTACCTGCTGCCGCTGCGGCACGAGTTTTATACCGAAGCGCAGCAGCGCAGCGGAGGCAGCAGCACATAGTTTTATAAACTAAATTTTTTTCTCGGTATATAGGCTAGATTAGACTGGCGTTTTTCTCTCTCTCTCTCTCCTCTATCCCTTTTTTTTCAACCCTACTCCTCTTCTTTTTAGGGCTCGCACGAGCGAACCTATAAATAGCCCCAAAGCTCGTTCGAAGGTCCGCGAGCGAACAGCAGTAGTACTACAGCGAGAGGAGAAAAAAAAAGGAATAAAATAAAACGAAATAAAAGTTTATTTCGCAAATACAAAAGACACGAGCTCGGCGGCCGAGGGTCTCGAGAGTTAAGCGCGTCGAGGTAGCGAGAATCGTCGCGCGCGAGCGACATTGAAAACTCCGAATGACATTTAGAAAGTTCCCTGGGTGCTATACACACGGGGTAGGATTTTCTACCTCGACAATGAAAACGATTCCTCCGCGCAGCGCGTGTATGTATACAAAGACAGAGAGAGAGAGAGAAAGAAAGAGACACGCGAGGGCGCGATCTAGCTGTTGAAGTTCTTTTCTTTTTTTTTTTAATAGCGTCAATCCTGCGCAACTTTTTCTTTAGTTCAAAACCTACTTTACGCTGGAAAAAAGCTATCGATTTACAAAAAGGGAAATACCTTTGTACGAAAAATTTTAGTATATGAGTAAAAAGCTCGAACGAACGAGCTATTCCGTCGTGCGCTTATTACACCGCATTCCGCAACGTCTGTATCAAGCTTGCAGCACGCCAACATTGTGTGCGTGCGTGCGTGGAGAGTGACTTATGAACTGCTCGCTAGACTGCGGTGCATATTCCGCAGCGCGACGACGACGACGACGATTATTTATACACGCGCATTATATATTATATCATGTACTCGTCTCTCTCAGTGTGTACGCGCGCGTTACAGAGAGATCTTTTTGCCCAGATTTCAGCTTGATATTATGCATTATTAATATAATGCGCGCGGCAGCCTCGAGCTTTCAACGCGTGTACGTACGTGTGTCTAAGCACACCGATGTAGTAGTAGTAGTAGACTCGAAAGATGATCCCTCCTCGCGATTCAGCTCGTTAATTATATCATTTTCCTGCGCTGCGCGCGTATATACGTGCACGTACATACGTACATACACGGTGGCAATGATATTCGTAACTTTTGCCCCATCGTTTTACAATGTTACGAGTGTGTGTGTGCCGCGGACAGCTCCGCCAATATTTCTAATTGCCGCGAGCTCGCGAGCTTCGAGACACAGTCGGTCAGTACGTTTAAACGAGTTTGTGTAATACAATGTGTATTTCTACGCGTGTGTGTATAGGTACGCGTGGGCGGGTATTTCGCCGCAGGTATTTATAATGAAAAGCTCTGCGCGCGTGCACGCGTTTAACGGTGAGCGTGTGTAAATCGTCATTTGCAAATCGTATTGACCTACTTGCTTTGAGAAGAGAGAGAGAGAGAGGGACTCTCTGTGCTGTGTATGTGTGTACTGCTATAGGTTCCTCTCTCTCTCTCTCTCTCTCTTTCCTCTTTCACCCCCTCGCTATATACTCCGAGCTGCGTTGTTGTTGCTGTTGTCGTCGTTGTTATAATACATATGTACGCGCGCTCATCGGATTGACTCAATCAGTGCGCACAGCACTGTACGATATACACATGTAGATACATACAGAGAGAGAGAGAGAGAGAAATCGAGCGACGATGATTATGAAAATTAGTTACGGTCTCTGTGCGCCGCGTGTATGTATATCTGCGCGCTGCGAACGGTAAATTATTATCTCGCGCCCTGGCGCCAGATATTATAGAGAGAGAGGGGCATAGGGTCGCTCGAGTTTGTATGTGTGTTCTACATAATGACGAATCCGCAAAACTCGAGAGTTTCTCTCTATATAGGTATGTATATTCCACGCACGCGATGATAAGGGCTTATACGAATGCGCGTATATCTATAGTTATCATCTATCCCATTCATCTTTCTCTGTCTCTGTCTCTACGAGGCCAGCTGCATGGCATAGGCACGATACACACATACACACACAAATATACCTACAGGGTCAGCGCTGCTTATATTCGCGAAACGAACTTTTTCCACCTCTATTCAGGCATCTCTCTCTCTATATACTACCTATACTCACCCGCGCGCTGCTGCTGCTGCTGCTCGACCCTGTTGCTTTTCATCCCCCGTTGATATCCAGCAGCAGCAGCTCTCCCACCAGCAGCAGCAGTACCTCACGCAGAGAGAGATCTGCGCGCGCACACACATCTACTGCGAGTATATTCGAGAGAGAGAGAGAGAGAGAGACAGAGAGCTCTGGAGCGCGGCGCAGAGAGAGGCGATATAGGAGGACGCGCGCGACGCTGCCTAGTTCTCACGAGGCTGCTCCGGCCGACAATGACAGTCCTGCCGCAACACCAACACGCGCCGCACAATCGTGAGTACCCAGCAGAGAAAAAATTTAAAAAACACACACGCAAACACACAATTTAAATAATAATTGCTCATGGCTGTTTGATTATATAAAAAAAACCAACCAACATTTATTATAACCCTGGCGTATATAAATATTATATATATTTTTTTATTTTGGACTTGCAAAGCCATTGTTACAAATATACACATTATATATTATACGTAACATTATACACAAATACTATTTGAATATACATTTTTGTACCAAGTGCAAGTGTCATTGGCGAAAAAAAAAAAAAAAAAAAAGAAAAACGCGTGCGACAATTTTCTTCGATCAACTCTATGATAGCGCGAGTTAGACCAACCGTTCGTCGTCCAACAAGTGTGTATATATTAAATATACGATATCAACCCACCAAGTGATCGAGCTCAATATTCGTGCTGACGTGATATTAAATACATATACAGTACGTTTAAATCCCTCGACGTTTCGTATACGACGAACCTGTGTGCGTGCTCGAGTGTGTGCATGTGTGTGCCTGTGATTATCTCTCTACGGTGATGATCGCTCGGGCCAAACGTCGAACGATTAATTCACGACGCACCTTTTGACTCGATGCGCGCAGCGTGCGATCGCCGCGGCGCGTCAAAAGTCGGCCTCTATATATACGTGGCATAGCACGCAGGATCAGCTTTGTATATAAAAGAGAGCGAATATTTAAACCTTCCACCCCGTGTGTGTATTCGCAAGCTGATTATTGAACGAAAACTTTATCAAGTACACATTGAAACTTTTCCATGTATAATATATAGTCGTATAAACTGCGCTCGCGTATTCATACGCACGCTTAAACGCGAGAGTTTATGTACGCGCCAATTTGAATAAATCCACACGCGTATATAAGTATAGAAAGTATATACTCGATAATTATTTCTCCGTGATGATTTTCGTGGAGCCTTTTCAACATCCCCACTTATATACCCCGCTATATCTGTGCTCGCTAAACTGCCCGCTTGTTGAGCGCGGGGGTAATTGATAAGAAATCATCGAGAAAACGATTGCACTTACTTGTCTTTTCGTCGTCGTCGTCGTTGCTGCTGCTGCTTCGATCTTCTGCCAATTGCTCACTCTCGACGCAACGAAGAGTTAGTAGCAGCAGCAGCGGCAGTAGTAGTAAGTACCTACCTACGGGCTATATACGAGGAGCAATAAAATCGAGTGCACTTTGATAAATTAGTCCATAGCCCCCCCAACGGTGCGTAACGTTGCAGCGGCGGCAGTTGTGCTCGCGAGCTTTGTTATTATTCAGGAGCAACTTGTAAGCTGTCGCTGCCGCTGCGCGTCGGACACTGTGGCCCGTTTACGGAACACACGAGCGACAACAACTGGCAAAGACTGATTTCCCGTTTTAGTTCTTGCTCGCTCGTTTCGTCGTTGTTGTTGCTGCTGTCGCTTTTTTTTCTCTCTGTCTCTTTGTACGTATAGTACGCGTAGTAGAGCTTGCGGCGTATTGTCGCGCTTTTACGCGCGCGTATAATTCGGCCCCCCGCGAGACAACGCGTGTACGTTTTTCCGCCAGCATATAGATACTTTTTTTTTTCTCGTCGTATTCGTTAATCGGTAAATGTACGAAGTCGTGCGCGGAGTCAAAAAAAAAAAAAATAATAAATAAATACATTATCAGAGACTGCACTCTCGCTGCAAAAAAAATTATAATAACCGTGTGTGTATGTGCATGTATATCGCACACACGACTCGAGATAGAGATGTAAATGCAGATGTCGCGAGCGGGGGTGGCAGTGGGGGAGGACGGGGGGCCGCATTAATTCACATAGAATTACGCGAGGATGAATAATTAACTCTCGAATGTAATTACTCGTGCTGCTGCTCGGTTGGGGGTATATTGCTGGGCGCGCCTCGCGCAATACATCGCGACGTTAACGCGTTCATCAGCGATCGCGCGGGGATTTCGAGCTGCTCTTTATAATGCACACGTATAGTGCCGTCGTATAAGGAGGCAAAGAGGCGAAAAAAGAAATATAACATGGAGGTAAAAAAGAAGCGATTCCCCGAGTCATTCGACCACTTATCTCCTCTCTCTCTCTCCCTTTTGCGCGCTCTGGATTTTTTAATACACGCGAGAGTGAAGCGAGAGAGAGGGATGTGAAAGAGTGGGGCAAGAGGCCAACAGGCCACGAGAGCAGCATACACACTCGGGGGGTTCTTTCGCAAGCACGACCAACTCTCTCTCTCTCTCTCGTGCCACCACTACCGCAGCAACAGCAGCACAGCTTCGAAGCTTTTTTTTTTTTTTTTAAGCAGCGTCTTGATTTATAATGCCGACGAGCTCTGTGCTGGGTGGCTTTTCTCGCTCTTTATATACTTAGCCCCCCCCCACACACGCTATACTCACATATATTCTCATATTTATACACACACACGTGGGTGTGTGTGTGTGTGTGTGCCGCCGTCGTACGTAAGTAACGCGTACACGTATATACAGGGTTTATTTATAATTCATATACATTTGGCGAGCCCGCGCGTCCTGAAAGTTTATATAAATCGCTCGCGGAATGTGTGTGTGTATGTGTATGTGCAGCAGCAGCAGGCGAGGGAGGAGGCAGGCGAAGAGTCAGCGCGGGCACGTCTGAGCGAATATAAGGAACACGGGCAAAATTGAAAGCCTAATAACCGCAGAGAAAAACTTTGTACATTCTTTCCTCCTCCTCCCCCTCGCGCTACACTCGCGGCTGCTGCTGCTGCAAGCTCCTGCAAGCTCGAGCTTTTATTTTAGCCGCCGCGTATACAGCAGCAGCTAGCTCTCTTACTTTGGGAGTAGTAGGTATTTTTACAGCGCTCGCGCGCGTAGAAATGCGCCCCCCGCCTCCCCGCGAATCGTTTGGCGAAGTCGAGGAATAGTAGCTAGAGCTAGCTAGCTAGTAGTATAAGAAAGTAGTGGATGAAGCGGAGAGAGAAAAAAAAAGAAGCAAAATAAAGTTCGATGGTGTACGTAGCTCTCTTTTTGTAGCTCCTAAATTTTTGTCGTTTTCTTTTTGTGTGTTTTGTGTTTTACCAGTACACGCGAAAAGTCGAAAATGAAAAATCGCTCGATACATGTACGGTGCCGTCGAGCTAAATAGAGCTATAGCGCGAAGCAATACACAAGCTTTCCGCGTACGAGGTTAAAACTAAAAAAAGAAGGAAGGAGAGCAATGGTAATTTCATTAAAAATCCTTGCTTCTCTCGTTTCTTCTCTTTCCCTCTCTCTCTCTCTCGCGATTAAATGACACACGTTTATAAACTGTAATTTTCCCCGCCAACTCGCGTATCCTCTTGCTCTCGTCGTGACGATTCGCTCGCGCGAGAGAGCATTTATTTATTATCTACGCGACGAAGAGTCGAAGTTTTGCGAAGCGTCGTGCGCATTGTCCCGGCCTCTACGCGCGCGTGCAGGGCGCAAATTATCGCGCACTTTCTCTCGGGTCTATACATACCTTGGTGATATAAAATGACACTCTATATATATATATAATATGCATCTCAGAAAATAGGCTATTGTTCTTCTTGGGCGGTGTATATTATGTTGAACGCACCTCGTCTCGCGTGGCGTTTGCGAAATACAATAGGCGGGTAGGGATACTCTCTTGCGCGCGTCTGGTCTATTCAGAGATGCGCGCGAGACGAGACTCTTTGTGTCTGTGTGTGTGTGTGTGCATTATTATTACGCGCGGAAAAAACTGTCGAAAACGCGCGGAGGGGAGGAGGAGGTACTTATGAATAAACGAGAGAATTTTCGGAAACTACCCCGAGAGCAGCTTGATGAATAATTATATAAATAACAGCCGTCGTCTCGCGTTATACGTCCCCGAGACGATCGAATTTCGTAATGAGGTGTCGTCGCGCTAATTCAGCAAAAAAAAAAAAAAAAAAAGTACGTCTAATTTTTCCCCTTAATTTAAATTTCGAATATCCTCTGCGCATTTCCGGGCCATTTACATTCATTTTCCACCCAACGGCCAACTAGTTTCTCTCTCTCTACCTCGCTCTTATAATTCTCGAACATTTTTGAAAGTTTTGATTCCGTAATAATATTCCCCCATTTTGATATAAAGCATAAATTTTTGCGCACCGTCGTCCCGCCGAAAAGTTTTAATTAAATATCCCCTCTCGCGTTTAATTATCGTAAAAGTATGCGCGCCCAAAAATGACCCATCAAGAAATTCAGCGTCCCCGCGCGCGCGTCTTAACCTTTATTTTTTCATTCTTCCTCCTCTTCTTCTTCCTTTTGTCGTAAGTACAAACATTGACGTAATTTTTTTAGGGAATAATCGCTATGCGCACTGCCCACGGGGACTACTGCGGTCGAAGCTCCGTCGATTTATAGAATATCTCAACTTTATAGAACGCGAGTTTCTACGATTCGCGGTATATACACAATACGTTACGTACGTCTCCGAGTTTTCACTCGACGTTATGCTGCTGCTTGAGATAGATATACTCTCGCGCGCACGCATCCATCCTCGCAGACACGGGGAGACAGTTGATGAAACTTTCGTGCATGACTGACATTAATATCGCCTCGCGCGCGCGCCCGATCGATATTTATATACCACATACGCGCGCGCGCAATATATAATATTGCGCCGTGCTACACAGCCAAGTGTAATACGCGCTAATGATGAGCGAACGAGTTATCGAATTAATTAGGCGATCTCACTCGCGGAGAGCAGCAGCAGCAGCTCACCGAGGCGAAATTGAAACATATTTCCCAATATACGCGTATCTATGTATACGCACATACGCACTTTTGCGCGAAATCCATTACAGCACGCGGAACCGAATATGCGTGTGGCAATTAAGTGTTGTCCAGCCCCGTATCTTTTTTGTTTTGCCGCCGCCGCCGCTGCGCTTCGATATACGCGCCTGTACACACAGCTCGTTGCAACAATAATGACATTCCAGTCCGAGTTTTACCCTGCTCCAACTAGCTGCTGCCCCGTGTGTAAATATACAGAGGATAT